CAGCAGCTGCTGCTGCCGCCGCCGCAGCAGCAGCCGCAACGGCAGCAGCAGCAGCAGCAGCCACCGCAGCAGCAGCAGGAAACTCGTGCGCAGGAGCCGCAACAGGAAGCATCACACCTCGAGTACCAGCAGCAGCAGCAGCAGCATCAGCAGCAGCAGCAGACACGGCAAAATCTGACTCACCAAGGAATCGCAGCACAGCAGCAGGTGCAGCTGCAGTCTCCGAGCTCACCTGAGCAGCAGCAGCAGCAGCAGCAGCAGCAACGGCAGCAGCAGCTCTTGCCACAGCAGCAGCAGCAGCAGCAGCTGCAGCAGCTGGATGCTGGCTATACCCCTAGAGCGCCGCTGTATTCCCTGCTGCCGCTGCAGCACCGCAGGAAAGAGGGGGTGGGAAGCACAGCAGCAGCAGCAGCAGCAGCAGCAGCAGCAGCAACAGGAGCAGCAGCGGGCGCAGAAAGAGCTCCCATCACCCCGCGTGATGCACTAGAGCAGCAGCAACATGATGCAGCAGCAGCAGCAGCAGCAGCAAGAGCGTGTCTTCCGTCTAGCACCTGCACGGCAGCGTCACCTCGAACGCAGCAGCAGCAGCAGCACGAGGGAGCAGCAGCAGGAGCTGCTGCTGCAGCAAGGGGCTATCCAGCCTCGCCACGGTACGCTTTAGAGTCTCCTCGCTTGCTGACGCAGCAGCAGCAGCAGCAGCAGCAAGACATCGCAGCAGCAGCAGCAGCGCGAGCCTACCTGGCCTCTCCAAGGTGCCCTCTTGAGTCTCCTCGTTTGCTGCAGCAGCAGCAGCAGCAGCAGCAGCCGCAGCAGAAGCTGCAAACTCTGAATGCTGCGGCCAGCCCAAGAAGCCCTCGACCTGCCCGTTTCCCGGCCGAAGCAGCAGCAGCAGCAGCAGCTGCTGCTGCTGCTGCTGCTGCGCAGCAGCACAAGCTGCTGCACCGCGCAGCACCTGCAGACGTCGAGGGCCTTGTCCACGCAGTGGTGAGAGCGGTGCTGCAGCAGCTGCATCCTGGTATTGCTGCTGCTGCAGACAAGTCAGCAGCAGCAGCAGCAGCTGACAAAGACAAGTCAGCAGCAGCAGCAGCTGCTGCTGCTGCTGCTGCTGAAGCAGCAGAGTCTCAGGGCTCTCCTGCTGCTGCTCTGGCGAGCAGCGACGACGAGGACTTCCAGCGATCGCTCGACACTGAACGCTATATCAGCAGCAGCAGCAGCAGAAGCAGCAGCAGCAGCAGCAGCAGCAGCAGCAGCAGCGTGTTTCATGTGCCGCACTTCTCAGTGGCACAGATGGATAAGTGTAGGGAGCAGCAGCACCAGTCGCTCGGGTCTTGGAAAGCGGCCTCGACTTCGTTTTCTGCTGCTGCTGCTGCTGCTGCTGCTGCGCCACAGCCGTTGGCAGCAGCAGCAGCAGCAGCAGCAACAGCTGCAGCAGGCGAGGCTTCTGCAGCAGCTGCTGCTGATAGGCAAGTTGGGAGCAGCACAGAGTCTGCGCTGTCGCCAGCTTCGCCTGCTGCCGTCACCGCAGCTGCAGCAGCAACAGCAGCAGCGACAGCAGCAGCAACAGCAGCAGCAGGAGAAACAGCAAGAGCAGCAGCAACAGCTGCAACAGCGGCACCGGCAGCAACACCAACAGGCCCAGCAGCGTCAGACTCAGAAGCAGAGGCCTCAGCAGCAGCAGCGCCAGCAGCAGCTCGAGTGTTAGGAGATGAAGCAGCAGCAGCAGCAGCAGCAACAGCAGGGGCGCTGCAGGCAGCAGCAGCTACAGCAAAGCCTGCTGCTTCGTACCCAACCGCTGCAGCAGCAGCAGATACGCGAAAGGCGGTGTCACCAAGCTTTAGCGACGCAGCAGCAACAGCAGCAGCAGCAGGAGCAGCAGCACCAACAGCAGCAGCAGCAGCTGCTGCTGCAGACGCGGCTTCTAGTGCGGTGCAGCAGGGCAGTACTGCTGCTGCTGCTCTACCTCAAATAGCGGCCAGCAGTCAGCAGCAGCAAGAGCAAGTGCAGCAGCAGCAGCAGGAGGCGGAGCAACGAGAGCAGCAGGAGGAGGGGCCAGAGCGATGGATGCAGCAGCAGCAGCAGCAACAGCAGCAGCAGCAGCAACAGCAGCAGCAGCAGGAGATGGAGCAGCAACATGAAGTAAAGTGCCAGCAGCAGCAGGAAGAGCAGCTGCAGGAAATGCAGTTGCGGCAACAGATTCAGCACTATTTGCAACGGCAGCAGCAGCAGCAGCAGCAGCAGCAGCAACAGCAGCAGCAGCAGCAGCAGCAGCAGCAAGACTGGGCTCTGCTGCTAGATTTGCCTAGAATGCAGCACCCCTCAGAAGCACACTGCGCAGACACCCCAGCGCCGTCCCCCCGGCGGCAGCAGCGTGCTGCTGCTGCTGCTGCAACTGGCTATTTACTGCAGCAGACACAACCTGCTGCTGCTGCTGCTGCTGCTGCTGCTGCTGCTGTTGGCAGCATTTGTGCCGAGCCCGAGGAGGAAACGACAGCAACAGAAGCCGCAGGAGCAGCAGAAGCAGAATCGAAGCCCAGATCAGCAGCAGCAGCAGCAGCAGCAGCAGCAAAGGTAGCGGGAGCGAAAGCAGCAGCAACAGCCGCAGCCGCAGATGAAACGGCAGCAGCAGCAGCGGTCGCAGCAACAGCAACGGCAGCAGCAGCAGCAGCAGCAGCAGCAAGCGACACGGAGTTCTGTGCGGACAAAGCCAGCACCTTCGGCCAAGACCCGCAGCAGCAGCGGCAGCAGCAAGAGCAGCAGGGGGACCAGCAGAAGCAACTGCCGCAGCAGCTGCAGCTGCAGCAGGAACTGCAGCACCAGTTGAGCCGGCAGCAGCCATTGTTGCAGACGCAACAGCAGCAGCAACTACACCAGTCGCAGCAAGACAAGGACCGATATGAACAGCAAGAGCAGCAGCAGCAACAGCAGCAGCCCTCTCACGATCAGCTGCAGCAGCAGCCGCTGCAGCAGCAGCCGCTGCGGCCGCAGCCGCAGGAGAATGACTTGGTCCCGCTGCCGCAGAAGCAGCAGCAGCTGCAGCAGCAGCAGCAGGAGCAGCAGGAGGGCCAGCAGCTCTTAAAGCAACTGTCGCCGCAGCAGCAGCAGATGCAGCAAGAGGACGAGGGCAAAAAGCAGCAAGTGCAGCAGCTGGAACAGCAGCAGGAGAAGCCGCTGGACCAGCAGCAGCAGCAGCAGCAGCAGCAGCAACCGGAGCAACAGCAGCAGCAACCGGAGCAGCAGCAGCAGCAGCAGCAGCAGCAGCAGCAACCGGAGCAGCAGCATCAGCAGCAGCAGCAGCAACCGGAGCAGGAGCAGCAGCAGCAGCAACCGGAGCAGCAGCAGCAGCAGCAGCAGCAGCAACCGGAGCAGCAGCAGCAGCAGCAGCAATCGGAGCAGCAGCAGCAGCAGCAGCAGCTGGAGCCGCAGCAGCAGCAGCAGCTACGGGACCTGACAGCAATGCACATTGACTATGCTGGGGGGCCGCTGCGGCTTGAGGAGCAGCAGCAAGACAGCAGCCCCGAAGCTGCGCTGCGGATAGCTTTGCTGCTGCTGCAGGAGGCGGGGGTTTTGTCAGCAAACAGTGCAACGGTAAAAGCTGCTGCTGCTGCTGCTGCTGCTGCTGCTGCTGCTGCTGCGCGTGCTGCTGCTGCGCGTGCTGCTGCTGCTGCACGCGCTGGTGCAGCAGACACTGCTGGGGTAGTGGAGCTGCTGCCGAGGTGCTGATGCTGCTGCTGCTGCTGCTGCTGCTGCTGCTGCTGGTTTGATTAGGAGTTTGTGAGATCGGAGGACATCCGACCGACTGAAGAACTCTACCGTAAAGTGGTAAACCCTAAACCCTAAACCCTAAACCCTAAACCCTAAACCCGCAAACCCCAAAAACTGCGTTGGCTGTTCGCCTATAGTGTATCGTGCCTCTCGGTTTAGGGTTTAGGGTTTGGGGTGCACTGTACGGTAGGGTTTAGGGTTTAGTGTTCTAGGGTTTAGGGTTTAGTGTTCTAGGGTTTAGGGTTTAGGGTTTAGTGTTCTAGGGTTTAGGGTTTGTCTGCAGCATGAGGCAGTCAACGCCACGCGCTCTGGCAGTGGGGCCGCACATGCCGCGGCAGCGCCCGCAGCAGCAGCAGCAGCAGCTGCTGCTGCTGCTGCAGACCCAGCAGCAGCAGCGGCAGCAGCAGCAGCAGCAGCAGCAGCTTCTCCTGCTGCTGCACTTCCTGTTTCTGCTGACTTCGTGGAGCTTATAGTCGACTTGATGTTTGAAATTGCTCTTGACGCAGAGACTAAACATCTGCCAGTGTGTTTGCTGCTGCTGCTGCTGCTGTTGCTGCTGCTGCTGCTGCTTCTGTTGCTGCTGCTGCTTCTAGTGCTGCTGCTGCTGCTGCTGCTGCTGGTGCTCTTGGCATTGTTGCTATTGCTGCTGCTGGCGTTGCTGTTGGAGGTGCTGTTGCTATGTTGCTGCTGCTGCGGGCGCTTCTGTCGCTGCTGCTGCTGTCGCTGCTGCTGCTGCTGCAGGGATTGCTGCTGCTACTGGCGTTGCTTATGCGGCTGCTCGTGCTGCTGGTGCTGCTGCTGCTGTTCATCTTGCTGCTGCCGTTGCTGCTGCTGCATGTGGCGCTCTGGCCTGCGAGAGTCTTGCTGCGGCGGCAGCACATTCGCTGCTGCTGCTGTTGCTGCTGCTGCTGCTGCTGCTGCTGCTGCTGCTCAGGGAGCTGCCCCTAGTGTTTTTGTCTCGGAGTCCCCCAACCCCCGCAGCAAGCTGCTGCGAGAGCAAGCAGCAAAACTGCAGCAGCAGCTAAACCCTCAGCTGCAGCAGCAAAGCTCAAACCCTCCCTTCATCAAGTGGAAAGACCTTCTGCATCAAGTAAGCCCTGCGTCTAGGGTTTAGGGTTTAGGGTTTAGGGTTTGGGTACTGCGGTAGAGGCGCGCAAGGGACAGACTTGTGCTTTAGGGTTTAGGGTTTAGGGTTTAGGGTTTAGGGTTTGGAGGTTTGAGCTTCAGGTCGTGCAGCGCGCTGCAGTTGGCTACTGTGAAGCCCTGCTGCTGCCAGAAGAGCAGCAGCGGCCTGAGTTGCTGCTGCTGCTGCCATATTTCAAACCCTCGAAAGACGTATACGGAGGTAAAGACTAGGGTTTAGGGTTTAGGGTTTAGGGTTTAGGGTTTAGTGTTGAGGGTTTAGGGTTTGGGGTTTAGGGTTTGCGGTTTTGGTCTCCTGCGGACCGTGCCTTTGCCGCCAGCGAGAGGTTCCGAAGCTTGCAGCGCTGCTGCTGCTGCTGCTGCTGCTGCTGCTGCTGCTGCAGGTGCTGCAGCAGCAGCAGATCTCACCACTGTTGCATTTGAGAGACACCTGGGGCCCCAGCGGCTGCAGCGCCGGCTGCTGTCTCTCCCTTGCGAGCAGCTAGCAGCAATCTTTAGCCCCCGGCAGCAGCAGCAACAGCAGCAGCAGCAGCAGCAGCAGCAGCAGCAGAGAGAACAGCCCCAGCAAGCCCAAATGCAGCAGCAGCAGCAGCAGGGGCAGGAAGAGAAGCTCCAGCAACCCCAGATGCAGCAGCAGCAGCAGCAGCGGCAGGAAGAGAAGCTCCAGCAAGCTCAGGTGCAGCAGCAGCGGCATCAGCAGCAGCAGCAGCAGCAGCAAACTCAGCAGGAAGGGGAAGATCACCACAAGCAGCAGCAGCAGCAGCAAGACGCTGCCGCTTGGCGAGGGGCAGCAGCAATGGTGCCTCCAACGGGCAGCACGCAGCAGCAGCAGCAAAAGCAGCAGCAGCACGTGGAACAGCAGCAGCAGCAAGTGGAACAGCAGCAGAAGCAGCGGCAGCAGCATGTGGAGCAGCAGCTGCAGCAGCACCAGCAACTGGAACAGCAGGAAAAACCGCAGCAGCTGCTTCTGCAGGGACATCAGATGCAGCAGCAACTGCAGCAGCAGCTGCAGCAGCAGCAGCTACAAGAGCAGCAGCAGCAAGCAGCACAGGCTGGAAAGCCCCCGAAAGCCTCTGTTGCTGATGCTGCTGCTGCTGCTGCATCCCCTGCAGCTGCAGCAGCAGCAACTGCTGCTGCAGCAGCATTCAGCAGCAGGTGCAGCAGCGTCAGCTTGAGCTCTCCCCGAGATGACAGCAGCAGCATCAGCAGCAGCAGCAGCGATGAGGCCCCTTCTTTGAGGCGCGCTGTGCTGCCGAGCCCTTGGTCAAAAGATCAGCAGCAGCAGCAGCAGCAGCAGCAGCAGGTGCTGCTGCAGCAGATGATGCAGCGCGAGCAGCAGCAGCTGTGGCACCACCGACTGCCTGCAGCAAGCGACGGCAGCAGCAGCAGCGACGAAGACTCTGTGCCCCTTGCAGACCTTCCTGCTGCAGCAGCAGCAACTGCAGCACCTAGAGCTGCTGCAGCAGCAGCAGCACTGGCTGATTGTGCTGCAGTTGCTGCAACAGCAGCAACTGACTGTGCTGCTGGTGCAGCAACTCAGGCAGAAGCAACTGCAGCAGCAGCTTGCTCTGCTGCAGCAGCAGCTGCAACGCTGCAACACACAGGCGACCGCAACATTAGTCCACCGCTGCTGCAGCAGCAGCAGCAGCAACAGTAGCAGCAGCAGCAACAGTAGCAGCAGCAGCAACAGCAGCAGCAGCACCTTGAACAGCACTTTTCCGTTTAAGCCGCGGACGAATTGAGCGGCAGCAAACCCTGAGCTCTAAACCACATTGGTGTCCAAAATGCAAACCCTAAACCCCAAACCCTAAACCCTAAACCCTAAACCCTAGGGTTTAGCCCCAAGTGCGCATCGAAGCTGTTGTCCTTGTCGCGAACAGGGATCGCCCTCTCTGCTGCTGCTGCTGCTAGTGTTCTAGTGCTGCTGCTGCTGTTCTAGTGCTGCTGCTGCTGCCGTTGCTGCGGCAATTTCTGCTGCTGCTGCTGCTGCTGCTGTTGCTGCTGCTGCTAGTGCGGGGCCTAGCCTGGCCTCTCCAGATTTCCGATGTCTAGCAGCTCTTTTGCTGCAACCCTAAACCCTAAACCCTCGGACAAAGTGGTGGAGCTGGGAGGAGCGCTGCGAGCGCCAGAAACCCGCCCCCAAACCCTAAACCCTAAACCCTAAACCCTAAAAACTTGACCCTGCGTTGAACAGCTCAAGAAATCTTGCCACCAAGTCAGCCGAAGGCCCGCCGCTCTGGCTCGGGCCCGGAGCAGCAGCAGCAGCAGCAGCAGCAACAGCAGCAACAGCAGCACGAGCAGCAGCAGCAGTACGAGCAGCAGCAGCAGCAGTTATTCCTGCAGAGGGATCCACAGCAGCAAATGACGCGGGGGAATAAATAATGCTGCCAACACAAGCAGCAGCAGCATGTGTTACGGCGCTGGGCCTCAGCAGCAGCAGCAGCAGCAGCAGCAGCAACACGAACTCGAATGGCTGATTTATAAACAGATCCTTGCTGCGACAGTTTTGCGATACATGGCAATGTGCTGCTGTTGCTGCAGCAGCAGCAGCAGAAATATGTTGCTGATGCTGCAGCGCAGCGCCCAAACACAGATGACCGCATCGGCAGCTCCAGCAGCAGCAGCAGCAGCAGCAGCAGCAGCAGCTGCTGCTGCTGCAGCTCTCTGCCCTAAGCCGACGAGCAGCAGCCAAGCAAAAAGAAATTTTGGGTTCTTTTAAAGTGACTTTTGCTTCGTGCTGTGTCGCTTATTCCTGCAGCAGCAAGCAGTGTTGCTGCTGATTCCTGCTGCTGCTGCTGCTGCTGCTGCTGCTGCTGCTGCAGCGCTGCTACAGCAACGCCAGAGGCTGACGGGTGGTTATTGCTTCTCCGTTTGAGTTCCGCGCGCATTTTCTGCTTCCGGCTGGACGCGCAGCAGCAACAGCAGCAGCAGCAGCAGCAGCAGCACCCTTGGATCGTGCTGTCTTTCCTTTGCGCTGCAGCAGCGCCGCGTGTTACGGCAGCAGCAGCAGCAGCAGCAGCACACCCAACAGCAGCAGGAATTTGACGCTTAATTTAGCGTGGCACCCCAGCAGCAGGAGCAGCAGCAGTCCAGTGCTTCACTGACGTGCGCGTTCACAGCAGCAGCAGCAGCTGCAGCAGCAGCAGCAGCAGCAGCAGCAGTAGTAGTAGCAGCAGCAGCTGCGGAGCAGCAGCGGCAGCAGCGTCAGAGTCAGTTGCTGCCTCTTCCACTCTAGCTGCTGCCC